GGATTTTGGCTCTTGGGAGCAGCAGGAGGCCATGCCTGGGGCATGATGCCAGGGAGCATTTCCTTCCTGCTCTTGCAACCCTTCCCCCCCTCTACTCTTGCACCCTCATCCCTATCCCATTCACTGGCAGCCCTGTCCTGCACACTGAACCCCCCCCCCATTTTTGTCCCAACCCCAGAACCTGGCGGGGGAGGTACCACAAAATCCACTAACCCCAGAAGTGTAAATCTGACCCATGGGAAGCCCTGAACCTCAGTCCTCCCATCCCCTCTCCTTATCCAGTGGGGCTAGAGTGCCAGAGAAGTGAGGTGTCTCAGCTGGGGGCTACATCTGTGAGTACTGGGGTGGGGGCTAGACGGGTATTTTTTTGCTTCTCACTTGTGTGGTCCCCAACTGATTTTTTTTTTTGTGTGGATCAGTGGCTCCCAATTCGAAAAAGGTTCCCACCCCTGTAATAAATAACGAAAATATGGGAACCTTTTGTGTTGAACATAAACTAATATTTTACTTTATTTAAAATGAAGTTTGATAAACAAACATGAGAAAGTTAAAATGCTTAATCTGTTTAATAATTTACTATTTCCTTTCTTACTGGTTAAATTAAACAATTCTCCCTAGATGCATTAGCAAAATGGCTTGGGTGTAATTAATGGTGATTTTCCAGTAGCATGGGGCGGGCAATAATTTTTGATGGGTGGGCCACTCCAAAAATTTTGAAAGGTTGGGTGAAGAAGAGAGCTTTCAGTAAGGGCTTGGGGTATAGGAGAGGGTGTAGGATCTGGGAGAGAGGGTGTTTGAGTGAAGGAGGCAATTGTGACCTGGGTTAGGGGTCTAGGGTACAGAGGTTTGGGTTCTGACCTAGGGCAAGAGTGGGTTGTGACCTAGGGCAGGGGACTAGGGTGCAGGAGGGGGTAGAGGGGTTTGGGCTGTGACTTGGGGCAGGGGACTGGAGTGCAGAAGTTTGGTTTGTGACCTGGGGCAGAGGATTGGGGTGCAGAGTCTGGGAGAAAATAGCGGGCAGAGGGTTTGGGTTATGTGGGGTAGGGGCACAGAGTTGGGGTGCCAGAAGCAGGCTCTGCCTGGGAGACTTACTTGCTTTACTCCCAGCCAGCAGGCTTCTCAAGCAGACTTCCTGCTTGCCCTGTCCCCTCACTGGCTGCAGGAGCCTTGTGGTTTTTGAACAGCTACAAGTAGTGTTCCCTCGAACATTTTCTATCCTTGGCAGGGTTGAATTTTCTTTTGGGTGGGTTGAAATTTCTTGTGTGCAACACGAATATTGAGGTAGTGTGTGGATGTGCACTGCCAATACTGTACAAACAAAACACACACAAATGTTTAAGCAGTCCACATGTGTGGAAGAAAATATATTAAACAAGACATCTGTGTCTAGTTGTTGTGAAGTACCCTTAGTGACTACAAAGATGCTGTACAAAGGTAGGGAAATAGCCTTCTCCCACTTGAGGAAGACTAGAAGCTGCAGAACAAATTAACACATGGCTTCAGTTTGTTGACAGATGCATGTTTGAAAGAGTTTGCAAATAAGATTTCATTCTATAAAACTAGCATCACACTTAGTACTTGCTACTTCTGACTCATAAGAACCTGAACTTTACCACATAGTAAAGATCTGGCCTTTATGCAATACAATATACCATGTATTAATTAGTAACACAGGATTTTTAAAAGATCATTAAGTTCAGAGTTTTAGATATCTGCAACATTCCAAAAAAAATCTGTTAAAAGAATATTTTTCTTTCTTAAGCTACTAACACCTATAGGGCATGTCTACATTAGCCCCCTAGTTCGAACTAGGGAGGGTAATGTAAAAACAGGACAATGTAGCACTTTAAAGACTAACAAGATGGTTTATTAGGTGATGAGCTTTCGTGGGCCAGACCCACTTCCTCAGATCAAAGAGTGGAAGAAAATTGTCACAACCATATATACCAAAGGATATAATTAAAAAAATGAACACATATGAAAAGGACAAATCACATTTCAGAACAGAAGGAGGATGGGGGGGGAGGTAAATGTCTGTGAGCTAATGATATTAGAGGTGATAATTGGGGAAGCTATGTTAGTAATGAGTAAGATAATTAAAGTCTTTGTTCAAACTTAGGTGTAAAGTGTCGAATTTAAGCATGAATGACAGTTCAGAGGATTCTCTTTCAAGTGTAGTCTTAAAAGGCCTTTGAAGCAAGATGCAGGTAATCAAGTCGTTGAGACAATGTCCTTTCTGGTTGAAATGGCAAGAAACTGTTTTTTCTTTGTGATCCTGTCTAATATCTGTTTTGTGGGCATTGATCCTTTGGCGAAGTGTCTGAGACGTTTGTCCAATGTACATAGCAGATGGACACTTTCGGCACATGATAGCATAAATTATTTTTCTGGATGTGCAGGAATATGTGTTCTTGATCTTATAACTCACTTGGTTAGGCCCAATAATGGTGTCAGCAGAGTGAATATGTGGACAAAGCTGGCAGCGGGGTTTGTTGCAAGGGAAAGTATCAGGGTTGGTATTAGTGTGGTATGTCCTGTGGTTGTTGGTAAGAATCATCTTGAGGTTAGGTGGTTGTCTATAGGAGACTATGGGTCTGTCTCCCAGAGCTTCTTGGAGTTTAGTGTCCTGTTCCAGTATAGGCTGTAATTTATTGATAATGTGTTGGACAGGTTTAAGTTGGGAGCTGTAGGTGATGACAAGTGGTGTTCTATTGTTGGTTTTCTTGGGTCTGTCTTGTAGTAGATGGTTTCTAGGTATTCGTTTGGCTCTTTCAGTTTGCTTTTTTATTTCTCCGGGTGGGTAGTTGAGGTTTATAAATGCTTGGTAGAGATCCTGAAGTTTCTGGTCTCCGTCAGTGGGATTAGAGCAGATGCGGTTGTATTGAAGGGCTTGGCTATAGATGATGGATCGTACAGTGTGTTCTGGATGGGAGCTGGAAGCATGTAGGTAACTGTATGAGTCAGTGGGTTTTCTATAGAGGGTGGTGTCTAATTTTCCATTGCTGATTTGTACTGTGGTGTCCAGTGTTTCTTGGCCATGCGTCCAGATCATAAAGATGTCATCGATGTAGCATAAGTAGAGAAGAGGTAAAAAGGGATGGGAGTTGAGGAAATGTTGTTCTAAGTCAGATATTAGCATACTGTGAGGCCATGCGTGTACCCATGGCTGTGCCGCTGATCTGGAGGTATAAGTTGTTCTCAAACTGGAAATAATTGTGGGTGGTCCTTAGTTAGAGTTAACTGTTACACCTCGTGGAATGAGGTGTAACAGTTAACTCGAACTAAGGACTTAGTTCAAGTTAACGTTTGACTGCTGCCTGTAGCCGCGGGCAGTTAGTTCGGACTAAGGGGATTTAACAATGGGGCCCGGACGGGAAGATGCAAATAAAGCCCGGGATATTTAAAGCCCGGGCTTCATTTGCAACTTTGAATGCCTACATTAGCCTCCCTAGTTCGAACTAGGGGGCTAGTGTAGACATACCCATGTAAACTTTGTTTTGAAATCATGCACGTTTCCTCCTGGCACACAAACCCCCCACGCAGCCTGCTTTCCCTCCCTCCTCCAGCCCAGACAGAGAACTGCAGCAAGTAAGTCAGACACCCGAAACAAACTGCCCCCCTGCCTCCACCTCACTGCACAGATGCCAGCATCCACCCACTTCTTTTTTGCCCATGTAGTCAGCCCCTTACCTCCCTCTTCCCAGCCCAGAAGGCTTGAAGAAACTGCTGGATTTCTGCCTCTCTCTCTCCCTCCTCAGACAGATGGGACTCTCCAAACTTCCCTCCCCTCTGACTCCCTCCCCTCCCCCGCCCCACTCCTCAAACCAATTAATTACTCCCTCTCCCCAGCCACTTATTCCCTGCTTATCTGCTCTGGGAGCTCTTTAGTTCAAGCAGCACAGCTCCATTTAGCTGCTGCTTACAGACGCCCTGCCTCCCGCCAGTCAGTTGAGCTCCCTGTCTGCATGGAAGCTTTGAACCTCTAAGCCTGGCTCAGATAATAGCTGTGTGATAGCACGGCTTAGAGGGAACTTCGGCAGCCAATGGGATTGTGCTGCGGGCAGGAGCAGTGCGTGAAGCATCTCCTATCTCCCCCAGGCTCACGGCTGTTGAGAAGTGATAGAAATGTAGCCGTGTTAGTCTGGGGTAGCTGAAGCAAAATACAGGACTATGTAGCACTTTAAAGACTAACAAGATGGTTTATTTGATTTGTCCTTTTCATATGTGTTCTTTTTTTCAATTGTATCCTTTGGTATATATGGTTGTGACTATTTTCTTCCACTATTTGATCTGAGGAAGTGGGTCTGGCCCACGAAAGTTCATCATCTAATAAACCATCTTGTTAGTCTTTAAAGGGCTTCATAGTCCTGTATTTTGCTTCAGCTGTTGAGAGAGCCCTGTAGCAGCTTCTCTCAGCAGCATGTGAGGGGCAGGCAGGACTCTGCCTGAGGCTCCTCTGGCTCGTAGAGAGTATCTTGCCCAGGCCTGCATTAGCAAGTTGTGGTCCATGGAAAGATTTGCATCAAGTCTTGTGGGCCACAGGCCAAAACGTTTGAGAACCACTGCTGTAGTTAAAGCACGGAGTGGGGCACCAATGGGCATGCTTCAATCAGCCACTAGGTTGAGACAGCACAGATTAACCAGGCCCTCCACCCCCACCCCCCAAAAAAGCAACCTCCTGAAAGATTTGACAGATACTATGGTATAGACCAGGGGTCGGCAATCCCCAGCACGCATACCACACGCGAGCCGATTTCCCATGGCATCTGGAATGGGAGTTCAGTTCTGCGCCTTCCCTTCTTGCAGCCAGGAACTTGTGCTGCAGTTCCAGCCTCAGCTGCACAGGCTGGGGGTGAGGAGGGGGGGAAGAGGAGAGAAGAGGCACATGCATCCGTGGGGCTGCCCATCCCTGGCCTGGGCATGCAGCTCCTGGGAGCTAAACGGTTAGCCCTCCCCCTTCCTAGCTACAGGCTTCTTGCTTCAGGAGGGGACAGGGTTGGGCCTGCTCTGCAGAGCCAGGGCTGGGTGGCTGGCACGCGTGGCATGCTGGGGCCCAGTATGCTCCCTGTGGGGTCGGGGAGCCCCTTCTCCAGCACCCTGTTGCGCCCAGCCAGGCTGGAGCCAGTCCTGGGCAGCCCCAGGCTCTCCCAGCCCCAGAGCTGCAGGCAAAGGGCTGGGCTGGGCCAGGCATGGAAGAGACTCCCTACCCCTACCTCTCCTCACCCCAGCACTGCTGGGCTGCTGGTGAGTGCACTGGGGGCATAGGGATGTGGGGACAGGAAGGGGGTGAAGGAAGATGCGAGGGCATGATGGGAGGGGGCAGGAGTTGCACTGAGGGGAGGATGGGGCAATGCAGGGGATCAGGCTGAGGAGGGGAGATCATGGAGCTGAGGGGAGCAAGGCTGAAGCAGAGGGAAGGTGTGATGGGGGGATACAATTCTAATTTGCAAAAAATGCACTTTGTAGTAACTGCACTTTTCTTTACTCCACACTTCTTTGCCTCTCTCCCCAGCTAGCTATTTGGCTGCATTCTCACCCTCTCAACTTTTCTGCATTACTCCCCCAACCTCCTCCTGCTCTCAAACTCACTCTCGTAGTCCCACCACATCCTCTCCTGCCCCCGCAGACTCCCTTCCAGATCCTGCACTCTTCATGCCATCCTGCATCCCTATCCCACTCGCTGGCTGTCTTCTCCCACACATTGAACTCCTAATTTTTGTTCCCATCCCAGAGCCTAAGGGGGTCCACAAAATCCACTAACTCTGGAACCCTAGAAACGTAAATGTAGCTTATAGGAAGCCCTGAACATCAGTCCTCCCTTTCCCTTCCCTTCACCCCACGGGGGCTGGAGTGCCTGAAGAATGAGGTGTCTTAGTTGGGGGCCACATCAGTGAGGGTTGGGTGTTTTGGATTAGTGTTTTTGCTTCTCACTTGTGTGGCCCAGGATAGGAGGGTTAAATCTTGGCATGTCATTTCTGAAAGGTTGCTAATCCTTGGTCTAGACCAGGCATGTCCAAAGTCCGGCCCGCGGGCCAAATGCGGCCCGCGGTCGGATTTAATACGGCCCCCCGCTTCTCCCGGCTCCCCAGTGCTTTTTTTAACCGGCGCGCTCAGCGCGCCGCTTCGGGTCGCCGCCGCCGCTGCAGTCCCAACCCCTGCCCCTGCCCTC